TTTTTTTTTTTTTTTTTTTTTTTTTTTTTTTTTTTTTTTTTTTTTTTTTTTTTTTTTTTTTTTTTTGTATAGCTTTTTTTTGTTTATTAGCGTTTTTTGTTTATTAGCGCTTTTTTTCTATTCGCATTTTTTTTCTTATTCAAGTTTTTTTCTTTATTATAACAATTTTTTTCTTTTTTTATTTTTTTTTCTCACTTTGCAGTCCTATTCTGTAGAAAGGCGCAACCAAATAAGAAAATTTTTTCGTTTTATTATGTTTTTCCAACCTGCAGGATCCCTTCCCATCATAGATTAGAATATCCTAAACAGTAGTTATACCAATTACGCGTTACTCAGTGATAGTACAGGTACAATACGCAAGGCATAAAAGTTTTTTTTGCAGTCTGACCGCAAAAAGAGGAAAAAACAAAAAACAAAAGTTGTTCGTCCAATGTTTTGTTGCAGAATGTCTCGTTCTGTTTATAATACGTGCGTTTGATTTTGTGCCCCATTATATATTTATACCACGTACATATATATAAACGTATATGTATAATATGTACATGCGCGTCCCCATTGTTCGTTGAGCGTCTTCTTTGGTGTCCGTGCGTACGTACACTCACTGTCACCCTCGCGTGCGCATACTTTGCTTCATGTAGCATTTTTACTCATAATACTATTTGTTTTTTGTTTTTTTTTTTTGCACCAGTTTGTTGCCTAATTCGTTCCTAGTGCGAATTAGAGCCTCCTGCATGCACCTCGTGCGTATTCCCTGTGCTCCCCTCGTGAAGACAGAAAAGTAAGTCTATAACATGACAGGCGGGGCGCGCCCAGTTATTGCTGCTTTGGATTAGATATACATTGCGCACGGCTTGTTCTGCGTGGTGTCTGTCGCGCAGTGTCTTTCGTGTATCGCCTTTCGCGTATTGCCTTTGGCGTAGTGCGTGGTCCGTAGCGTGCTCACGTTAGCACTTATATAAGTAGCGCCAGAGTGGACAAGTGCTCACACAAACGTCGTTACATTACCTAGTAATATACATACACAGCTCACCCACGCACGCACCTGTTTTTTTTTTTTTTTTTGTTACACGTCCCTTCATGCAGCCATCCAGAAATCACCCGTCTTGCCCCCCCCCCAACACGTGATCGAAAATGGCTCTCAACATAGCCTTCTTTAACAACCTTGGAGAAAGTATTTTAAAATATTTTAACCCCAACTTGAGATATGGCAGAAGAATTACTAAAAACTGGTTCATGATGAACCCAACCCATTTCTTTCTGGCCTTCTTCTTTTATGCTCTGTTCGTTCTGGCCTCCTATGCTTACAAAACCTACTACGCGTCCAAGTACAAATCAGATAAGGGGTTGGTAAAGATAAAGTCCTCCTCAAGCTCCAAGTCTAAGAATCCTCAACTTGATGCTATATTAGCAAAGGCCGTCCCTATGTACAATATGTTACAGGTGAGTGAAAGGAATTCATTTTCCCCCCCTCGTGTCAATGCGCACGTGCGTTTGTGCGAACTTCCATTGTGCATTGTAAACCCCCACCCTCAATTGGTTCATATATTTCACACACGTTGTGCCCGTTTTTTTTCTCCTACACAGGTCCTTCTGAGTGTGGTGATCACCTTGCTAACCATATGTGCTGTCCGAAAGAGAAAATTTTCACTCTTCAACAACTATGTTGATTTTTCCAAGACCAACATTGCCCTTTGCTGCTGGCTCTTCTATTTGTAAGTTTTTCACGCGTCCCGGGAGGCGGAAGATACTCCTTCGTTTAGAAGTGGCTTCTTTTCTGGTTATTTTGTGAGGTATTTTTATAACCCCCCCTCCGTGCACACACATATACGCAATAACGTCACACAATTGTTTTTTTTTGTTTTTTTTTTTTTCCTTAGGAACAAATTGCTTGATTTCATGGATACCATTTTGATTGTACTGAGAAAGAAATGGAATCAGTTCACCTTCCTCCACGTGTATCATCACATTTCCGTTTTCCTCATCATGTGGATTAACACCAGCGTGGGATATGATGGAGATATTTACTACGTCATCACCGTCAAGTAAGGACAAGACTGGGGTGTCTACCATATTGTGCATCGTCCCCTAAAGGGGGATATAAATATGCCTCATAGGTTCAGGGGCTATGCGATGAGTTCTTCAGATGGAGTTGGCCCACGAGCATAGCATTTATACCTACCGCTACGATTACGCAACACGTTCACATATACACTTACCTTTTTTTCCCTTTCCCCCCCCCCCCCCCCAACAGCTCCATCGTGCACTTCATCATGTACCTGTACTACTTCCTAGCAAGCATGAAATTCAGCATCCCAGTGTTCGTCAAGGCCAGCGTAACGTATATCCAAATTGCTCAGGTGAGTAACCCTAGAGAGTGAGAGTAGACCGCGTCCATAGCTTTTCTCCTGTTTTGTTTTTGCCTCTGCCTCCGAGTGGTCACATTCCGCAAGCGATGCATGCACATTCGACCTATGAGACATATAACCCCCCCCCCCCTCATTTTTTCTTCCCCCCCCTTTGCAGTTCATCGCCATCATCTTCCCATCGTTCTGCGTTCTCTGCTTGAAGTATAATGCCTACTACCCCAGAAAATTGGTCGCCCTCAGTTTCTACTACTGCATGTCTTTGCTTGGTTTGTTTGTCCATTTCGCCTACAATACTTACATAAAGCCTAAGAAGAAAGTCGCTTAATTTTTTTTTTTTCCCCCCTTTCCATTTCGTTTTTTTTTTTTTTTTTCCCCTCCTTTTTCCCCTCCTTTTTCCCGTCTTCAAATTTTTGTCACGAGTAACTTGCAAAATTATAATTAAACACATGAAATAATTCAAGTAATCGTTTGTGCTTATTTTTATTAGTTACCATCGGAACAGAAAAACGGAACGGTATGTTGGGGGGGTTGTACGGTCTGCCGTTGATGTTTTTTTTTTTTTTTCCTCCCCCCCGTGGTTGCAGTGACGGAAGAGTCGTTCCTTTAGTAGTCATTTTTATACGTGCCGCTATACAGTTAGAGCCTTTTTTTTTTTAAAAAGACATGTCCCTCTTTTTATGCGCGCGCATGCATACGGCGCGTAAAGTAAGGGGATGATGTTGTTTTTGCAAATGCTGTGCATGTTACACGTAATCGCCATTCGCGATCCATTGCATGATAAAAACATAAAACAAAATAAAAGACTTGCGCATATATATATCTACCACACATATTTTCTACGCCGTCATTGAGTCAGTGGCGCCTTTGCGCCTCCATTTGTTGCTTGCCCTTTTTTTCACCCACTCTTTTTGTAAGTGTGTCATTTGTATCCCGTGATGCGCGCATTCCGTACTTGTGCGCGCACACGCAAAATATGTTTTATACACCACAAGTCTGCAGTGCCCCCCAACAATGTTATTCATTTCATACCCCCTCTCCCCCCCCTTGTTATATATTGTGTGTCCTTGTTAACCAATTATTTTATCTACACTTGAATGATACATGATTCATAAAACATTGTAACTGTTAAGTAAATTAAAACAAGTTGGTCATATAAAAAAAGAAAAAAAATTGCACCGCGCAAGTGCACATATATATTACACCAATGCAAAAAATGCAACCCCCCCCCGCGCGGAAGGAGAAATTATTAAATACAAACACATGTGGGACAACGTAGAAAAAGGGTGCACACGCTACCTATATATCTTTGTAGAAAAAAAAAAAAAAAAAAAAAAATTGCAACGCGTTGAAAAAAAATAGAAAACGGGAAATGAGATATTAAAATGACGAAATGGCACAGTAGGGGGCCAACGTTGCAAAATCACAAACGGGAAACAAAAAGACTAAAACACAAACAAAAGGAAAAAAAACGCGCACACTGAACGCGACAAACGTGGCAGTAAACACACCCGTGCGTGTGTAAAGTATGGGGGTTGGACAACGGCGCGGAGGAGAATTATATCCTTCCAATTAAAGCTTCTAATGCCATTTCAATGGGGTGTTTTTATTCTCCCTACGCACCGCTTTTTTTTCCCACCCACAGAGAGAAAAAAACACACGCTACTTCCTACTCGCTCATAAAAACGCGCAGCTGTTCCTGCAAGTCGCTGTTCTTCGTCTGGTACATCTTCACCTGCGCAAGGAGCTCTTGTATCTTCTCCTCATAGCTCTCTATGAGGGCGGGCTGATTACCTCCTCCACTACTGACACTGGCACTGGCGTTGACATCGGCGAGGTTATTTAAAATGGTGCAGCTGCTTCTGTTGCGCAACAGGTGGCACGTGCCGCTATCACTCTGCACCCCACTAAATCTGTCATTTTTACAAAGCGCAGGTACAGACGTGAAGTTACTCAGGAGGGAATACTGGGTGCTACCGTTATTGTTTATTCGTTTCATTAAATTCATTTCAAGCTCCTCCTTTTGCTTCTTCAACATTTTAATTTCCGCCTCCTTCTCCTTCAATGCGTAACTCAAATTATTATTAAAACTCAGTAGCGACTTAATCTCCACGTTCAGCTTGGTGTTTTCAATTTTGCTTTTTTGTATCATGACTTTTCTCTTTTCACACAAGTCTTGTAAAAAATTTTTTTCTCGAAAGAGTCTCTTCACATCATTGGCATGGTTAATGGTGTCATAGCATTGCTCAAGTGCCTTCTGTTGATCATCACTTATTTTTCTTTCCTCTGCGTAGGGTACTTTCTCCTTCTTTTGATTGTAATACAATTTTGCAAAGTCTGGGTGTTTAATAAAATTACGCACACTGGAACTACAGTTCGTGATTACACTGTTGGTGTCTCCCTTGGAAAGATATTCATCCCGCTTGCCAACTTTCTCACTAACGTTTTCTTCCCCATGAGGTATGTTATTATTATTATTACCTCCTGCCTCATCCTCTTCCTGCTCTGCCTCGTAACTATACACGTCGTTTTTGCCCTTCCCCTGGAGCTCACCATCCTCCTCCTCATGCTTAGCGGTTGCATCCTTGTTTACGTCACCATTGCAGGGCGCACAATTCTCTTCCTCTTCATCTCCGGGAAATTTTATGCTCGCCAAGTTGAATCCCGTATTGGGACTGTTACCCTCTTGATCATCTTTCGAGTCACCGCTCTGGGGTAATACTTTTTCTGCATTCTCAGCAACACTATTATCTACATTGCTTTTGTTTTGGTTTTTCTTTTTTTTCCCTTGTGCTCCTTCCTGAGTGTCGTAATTATCACACGAGGACATATTTAACCCTCCCTCAGCTACCTTTCCAGCCGTTTCGTTTTTACCAATGTGACTTCCTTCATTCAGTTGGCTGTTACCGCAGAAGGACTCGTTACTGTGGACTCCTTTCCGGATGCCACGTCCAACAACATCACCTCTAAGACCCATATTTATATTCTTATTCATTTTGCCTCCGCCGAGAGAAGACTCCACTTCAGGATTACCTCTCAGCGCATTACCCACCACAGCTGCACTAACGTTGGAAATTTTGTCCTTGTCGTATGCTTCAAACAGCTTACTAACACTTTTGCTATTTTGCTCCTCAGCCATCTGCCCCCTCGCGTCTTTCCCGTTGATGATGCTACCGCCCTTGCCCCCAAGAAAGTTGCAGCGAATCTCTTCCAGCTCCCCGTTGGTATAATTATATGCACGGCCATAATGCTTATTACTAATGGCACCTTCTTTTCCAATTAGCTTTTGTGCAGAGAAAACTGACCCACATTCATCCTCATCAATCACGTTGTTATAACTTACACCTGACACGCTGGTGCCATGTTTTCTTTTATCCAATCGTGCATATAACTCGTTCTGATCGTACTGACCCAAATCAGAGTACCTCACACTGAGGCATTTTTTACTTATTTCAATTAACCGCTGGGATCTGCTTATAAGTTGGTTGTGGCTAATATCGTCCATCTGTTCGGAAGCGGCAGGAGACTCGCTCTTATCCATTTCAGTGTTTCTATTAAAGGTCTCCGACATAACAGAATCAATTTTGTAATTATCACAACTGATGAAAGATTTCCTCAAGTGTTCATTGTGTGCTTTGTTTTTTTTTTTAAATAAAAGATCAAGTTCGCTTAGCTTGTTGTTGCTCATATATTTGCATTTGCTTTTCAGCAGCTGGTCCAGTTTCTCCAACGAGTTGTAACTCGCCCGATTGTCTTCATGGCGCCCCTGATGGGTACTTCCACGTTCGTCATATTGATACTCATCATTCGTACCACCTCTTCCCAGTTGCGGCTCCATGTCAACCGTAAAACCTCCTTTTCCTCCTATGACGCTTCCCTCCAGATCGCTGCGACGATAGCTGAAGCTCGGGCAGGTCAAATTTTCATCCGACTGTACGGTAAAATTTCTGTACTTATTCATATTAGGAAAGAGACTGTGTCTTCCACTTCCCCCTCTGCGACTATCAAACGGGACGAACCCTAAAAGGGTACTATTATTGTGTCCCCTTTCCAGTTCTCTCCCCCCTACAGACACACTGTCGCAAATTTTCTTATTACTCAACAGGTAGGTATAATCCTCCCTTTTAGCAAACAACCCCTTCTTCCCTCCCTTTGGGTCAGTCAAATGCAAACTTCTCGATTTCATATTGTCATAATAATTCTGATCAGAAGTGGAGAGTGCACCAACTCCTATATTCATGTTCTTATGTGAGTGGCTGTTATGGCCGATTCTGCTTCCATTGTGTAAACTAATCCCTCCATCGATTCCGACCCCCTTCAGAGCAGCATTATATTTCATCAGATTGAACATGCTGCCATTGCGGAACGAGGAGTCAAACTGATCATCCGCGTGGGTACCCAAATGGCCACCAACCTGATCGCCAACCTGACTACCTACCCCGCCACCATTCACATCACTAGCACTTCTCTTCTCCCGCAGAAGTAAACTCGCACTATTATTATTTTGAAACTCCGATTGTCTCGTCTTTTCACTGTTCAACATATCCGTGCAACTGACATACGTTTCATTTTTCAAATAATCATTTTCAACATCGAGGATGTTATTTCTCACGTACTGCCCATCACAATAATCATTGCCAGGTTGAAATGAAGAATGTCGTCTGCGTAAGTTCATACTTTTTGGATCATCCAGTAGAGCATGGTGGTTGTTCACACTCTCTGCATCATTATCTTTGTGGGAAAACGGTTCCTCTTCTTCCTGTTTGTCATTTTTGTTTAAGTATACCTGGATGGCAAGGTTACGCGATACACCCCTGTTGGGACTGTCTCCGCTTCCCCCATTCTCCTCTCCTCCTACAGCAGCCGCCGCTCCTGTAACATCTTTCGAATGGTTAGCAAGCAGCCACTCATTTGATTTATTTTTCAAATTGTAACTTAGGTTATCTGATGAACTCACCCCTTTGCAAAAGTTGTACAAACTATTTTCAATATAATTGCAGTGTCTCTTGTTCGTTTTTGTAATTTCGTTGAAGTCATTATAAAGGGATTCCCACAGGACATCGCTGCCCTTGGCATCATCTCCTTGGCTGTTCAGTTTCATTTTCGCTTACATCAAGTTGGGGCGTTTTTTTTTTTTTCTCTGGCGTGCGCTAAGCTCGGCAAACAAAAAAGTTACACTGCTACACCCGGCTTGACAGGTGTAAAGCCAGTTAGTGACCACGTAACACTGAAACAAAGGCACCAGGATCAGCAGTTCCCGTGTCGCTAAAACGGCTCCTCAAACGTGTGCAACGAGTGGATCTGAAAAGCAGACACACCTACGTGCGCACACATATATACCCTTTTTAAATGGTTTCACCCCACAGAAATGGTAACATAATTTTATATTGTTCAACACAACTTGGTTATTTCCTCCCCGTACGCTTCACACTTCCTCTGTCGTTATCAACTTTGCTATCACGTATGACGTTTCAAAATGCATGCACAACCGCGGCATCACTGATTGCGCATCATTTTTAATCAATCACGTTTTGCTAATCAGGGCAAAAAAAAAAAAAAAAAAAAAAA